GCAGTTGTACAAGAAAGCTATTGGGAGAGCAGTTACTCAGTTTACATTTTCAGAAGTTCACCCTGATGGTCAGACATCAGCATTTTATTTGTCATTTTGCTCAGGATGACTCTAGATTTTCTGGAATTCAGATAAAGAGTAAATGTTGATATAGTCACCCATTTCTTCTATTTGTGTGGCTCACTTTTATCAACCCCTGCCAAGAAAAGTTGATATAGATGTGTGGGCAGAGGTGAAATCCTGGAGAAAATCACCCCAGAGATTGCAAAATGCATATTTACAAAATACTGCACTTTACTGACAAGTGAGGACAAACTGTATAGCACATACTGCTCAGTGGAACAGGAACAGTTTAGGTGTCCAGGATGCTGATACAGCAGGATGTAGAACTGAGTAACTACAGATTCCAGGCAAATTTTTCCTATCGATAAACCTCCATTTTTCTCTGCAAAGAGGAAAAAAATACATGAATAGATTTCGTATACCGAGTCTGGTGGGGCCCAAGCTGTTGTGAATACTTTGTTTTCAGGTTTGGCAGGACTAAGATACTTTAGTGTGTGTGTGTGTGTGTGACTTGTAGAGTTTTCTTGAAAGTGCAAATCAACATTGATGTTGCCAAGGAAGCAAGAAATAGTGTACCAAATCATTCCTCCTAAGATGATAAACCTTTAATCCTTTTTCTGATATGCTAACAGCAACTGAGTGCTTCAGAATTTTAGTCCACTTGAATCTTTTTCTTCTGTTTTTCATAGTTAGGGTGGACAGACAGTGGTTGATTTGCCCTTTAGGAAATGCTATAATCATTTCTTGCACTGACGAATAATTGTGATAAAATTTGGGAAGACTCTGAAGAACGCTTTTAGTGATTTGTGAAGCTACTACTTGGTTAGAGTTTCCTCCCTTCTATTAAATATGAAATACTTAAGGGTTATTTTTGCTGTATAGACCTCCTTAGTGGATTGCTTTTTTGGGGGGTGGAGAGAGGTGCGCTGGAGATCAAACCCAGGGTCTATTGCATGCTAAGCATGCATTTTATTACTGAGCTATGTTCCACCCTGCAGCCTGCATTTTGATTTGAATGACCAAAGGACTAGATTAGCTTCCCTCAAGGGAAGCGTGTTTGTGAGTAGGTGTGTGCTGCAGGAGGGTGGGAAGGAGGGTAAGTGATAATGGCTATGAAATCAAAATCTTAGCTTAGTTTATGATGATCAGGAGAACTTTTTCCATAAATCTCTTACACCAAAGCCAAGGAATCTTTGTAGGGATATTGAATTTGCTTTCTGTTTGGGAAATGTTTTACTTTTAACTCCTTTTGCAGCATCCACTCATTTGTCCCATAAATATAGATATTCCTTACAGATCATTTCTGTCCTGCACATTCATGATATGCATCCACTCTCATAAATTCAGTTATTTTCTGTAACCCGATTTCTCTCTAAGTTTATCTCTGCTTATTTTAGACCCTTATACAAGGGTAGGTAATTATCCTAGATGGATTCAGTTAGATGCCTCAAAATCAATTTAGATTAACTTATTATCCACAGTGTTTAAAAGAGTCTTTGATTCTAAACCTGTTTCTCTGCCTTTGTTTTCTATTGCAATAAATGGTTGTCACCATCCATTCAATTGTCTGAGATAAAACATGGGAAGTAGGCAGTGGTCACCTTTGAGTCCACCCTCTTTCAATTTTAAATTGAATCTATCCTGCCTATTTTACTTCTTAAATATAATCTTCTCCAATTCTACTATCCTGATTTTCTCTCCATTTCTCCCATAAATTGCAGTAACAATTCTAATCTCTCATATTCTAATCTACTTTCTCTAGTGAATGATCTGTTTTTCAGCCAGCATAATTTTGCTAAAAACAATCATCATTGTTTCTTCCTTGCTTAAAACTATTCATAGTTTTCCATTACCCTTATATTATATTCCAAGATTGAGGTAGAAAGACCTCAAGTTTAAAGTCAGGCTGGGGGCAGTTTAGAAAGAGTCTGTCTCAAAATAAAAGGATTAATTCAAGGCTCTGGGTTAAATCTCTAATACTGGAAAAAAAAAGATAATGTGTTTCAGATTTCTTACTTTGAATTGCATGATCTTTTTTATTTAGCCCCTGAATGCCTTTCACCCTTATCTTTTATTACCCTCCACAAGAAGATTCCTTGAATTAATCAACAAATTCAGCAGTGTAGCTGGATACAAAGTCAACACCCAGAAATCGATAGCATTCCTATACACAAACAACAAACAGACTGAGAGAGAAATGAAGGAAACCATACCTTTCACGATAACATTCAAGAAACTGAAATATTTAGGAATGCATCTAACAAAAGAGTTAAATGATCTCTTCAATGAAAACTACAGTACTCTGAAAAAAGAGATTGAAGAAGGTTTCAGTAAATGGAAAAATATTCTTTGCTCATGGATAAGAAGAACCAACATTGTGAAAATGGCCATACTCCCAAAACTGCTGTACAGATTCAATACAATTCCCATTAAACTACCATTAGCATACCTCACAGATCTCAAGAAAACATGCCTTAAATTCATCTGGAACCAGAAGAGACCTGGAATAGCAAAAGCAATCCTGGGCAACAAGGATAAGTCAGGCAGAATCACAATCCCTGACCTGAAATTATACTACAAAGCTACTGTCATAAAATCATCCTGGTAATGGCTAAAAAACAGATCTGAGGATCAATGGAATAGACTGGAAGAAACAGACACAACCAAAAACACACTCAGCTGCCTCATCTTTGATAAAGGGACCAAACAAACTCACTGGACAAATGATAGCCTCTTTAATAAATGGTGCTGGAAAAATTGGCTTGCTACCTGCCAAAGACTGAAAATAGACTGAAGTCTATCACCATGCAACAAACTGAAATCAAAATGGTTCACAGATCTCAATGCTAAAACAGAAACACTAAATCTATTGAAAGAGAAAATAGGTAAAAAACTTGAAGACATGGGGTAGGCAGAGAGTTCATGAACAAAAACCAAATTGCATGTGAAACACTTCAAAGAATCAACAACTGGGATCTCATCCTACTGAAAAGTTTCTGCACATCTAAAGAAATCACCAGCAGAGTCAAAAGAAAACACACAAACTTGGAAAAAAATTTTAGCTGACTGTCCCTCAGACAAAGGGCTTCTATATAGAATGTAGAAAGAGTTAAAAAATATTAACCCCCCCAAATTCAGAGACCCAATCCAAAAATGGGCAGCTGAGATGAATACACACTTCTCAGATAAAGAAATACAAATGGCAAACAAATACATGAGAAAATGTTCAACATCATTGGTCATTCAAGAAATGCAAATTAAAACAACACTGAGATTTCACCTTACCCCAGTAAGAATGGCTAGCATTAAGAAATCAACCAATAACAAATGCTGGCGAGGCTGTGGAGAAATAGGAACCCTTCTCCAGTGCTGGTGGAAATGCAGACTGGTGAAACCACTGTGGAAATCAGTTTGGAGATTCCTCAGAAAACTAGGTCTAGAGATCCCATTCAATCCAGCTATTTCCCTTCTGGATATTTTCCCAGAAGATCTAAAAACATCATATCACAGTGACACATGTGCACCTACGTTCATAGCAGCACAATTTGTAATTGCTAAATTGTGGAAGCCACCCAAATGTCCATGCACCGAGGATTGGATAAGAAAATTGTGGTACTTTTATATAATGGAATATTACACAGCTATAAAGAAAGATAAACTCGAGGCTTTTATAGGTAAAAGGTCACAACTAGAGACCATACTCATAAGTGAAATAAATCAGACCTACATGTGCAAGCACCGTATTGTTTCACTAGTGTAAAACCTGAAAGAGTTAATTTAAACTAGGAGGTATGATAGACATTGTGAAATGATAGGAAAGCACTCAAGGGTAAAGGGCAACTGGGATGTGGGAGAAGAGAAGGGAAAGAAGGAGAAATTTGTATGTATGTATATACAGGATAGTTAACATAGCTGTTCTACTGTCTTCTATTTCTTTGCTGAAAGAAACTGTCAATAAGTCCTTGATTGATCAATATTGCATGTCTCTATCTGCTTTCATGAGAAACCACTTTGAATATATCAATATGTAATACAACAAGCATAGTTAATTTCCTACCACTTTGTTTGTAACTCTGTATTGTCTGTACTGTTCTTTTGCTATTTTACAAAAGGTTGTCCGTTAATGTTTTCCTCCTTTTATATTTAAAATTAAAAAAAAAGACTTGCTTTGAGGAATTTTAATTTTGGACTCTTATACAGTAGACTTTTTGTTTTTTCTGTCAGGCAAATGGACTGAGGCCTAATACATGATAGATTTGAGAAGACAGAGTAGTCTCTAGTGATTTTAAGTGTTTAATAATTACAGAAGAGTAATTTCCTCTATATTTCACTACTTTGCAACTCTGAATTTATGGTCTCATATAAGCACAATTGCATTATTATTTGGATTTTTTTTTGTTTCAAATTTATTGGACAGGTATGATGGTACATGTTTATAGTCCTGGTATTCTGGCAGTTTGAAGGAGGATCAAGCCCAGCCTGGGCAATTTAAGCTGCTTAGTTGAGCCTATCTCAAAATAAAAGATTAAAAAAAAAAAAAAAGAATTGGGGATATAGCTCAGTGCAAAGGCCCTGGGTTCAGTCCCCAGTACCAATTTTAAATTCAAATTTATCATAACGATTATGATACATAAAATTACAGTTTAGATAGTATCCCCCCCAAAAAAGGGAAACAAATTGGAAATCCTTATTAAGGGTGTGATCTGTTAGCCAGATGTAGCAGTGCATGTCTATAATCCCAGAATTCAGTAGGTTGAGGAAGGAGGATGGCAGGACTCCTGGACTCCTTAGACCTTATCTCAAAAAGCCAAAACCAAACAAAAAAATGAGACTGGTCAGTTGTGTAGCATTTGAAAAATAAAAAACCAAACTTAATTTTTGCTTTGAGTGACTTGAGCCTGTGTACTTACCTCTCCTCCTGTTTTTCCATCCTACAGTCCATTGAAAGAAGCAAAAGTGTTAAAAAATAAAGAAAAAGAAAACTTGCAAGAAGAAAAATGGTAGTATTGATATAAGAGAAATAAATTCTCAAATGTGTGAAGCAGAGGGGACCAAACTGAAGCAAAAACCTTTCTGAATTGAATGTGATGCGGGCATGGAGCCTCTTGAGAAGTAAGTGGATGATTTCCTCAACTTATTGAAACTCTTTCCAGTTTGGAGAAAGAGAGTTTTTTTTTTTTTTTTAAATGTGCTAGAGTGCAGTAGGGAAGAGCTAGACTATTTAAGAAATTATAGTAGTGACCCACATAATCTGTTTTCTTAGGTTTTACTTTACATGTGCAGTGTGATAAATGAACTTACATGTCAAAGGAAAAAAATGAAAGCCAAATGCTATTTAGAAGTTATTAAAAACTAGATGTAACATGAAAATTCATGAAATGTGGTGAAAGCTATATATAGAAAAATATTCAGGACTTAAAGTTTTAATATGGAAGGAATATGGAAAATAAATTAGTGAGTAGATGCTTGTTATTTAATGGCTTTGGGGAGTACTGAGTTAAGGATTCTGAAGATGAGTCTGTACTGACTGGGGAGCATAACTAAAAATGAGTCCTGACACCAGGAATGTTTTAGATGAGTCCTATAAAGCCATTTGTGAACAGACAGTTCCTACCTTGTCACAGGAAGTTCTCCCAGTCACTCTCTGAAGCAAGGGTCATTCTGGTTCCAACATCTGATGAAGAAAAGTTAAAATGGAAAACTAAACGCAAATTTCAATTAAAAGATGTAAATATCTTAAATATTTTTGCATAGGTTCTACCATAAGTATTTAAAAGTAGGCAAAAACATTGCTTACAGCGAAATATAAAATTTTGGGCAGCCATGTTATGAAGAAATTTATGCTAAGCAGAAATTAAAAAAATTGTGGTGATTAATATCTGTGTAGCTTTGCCTATAACAGAACCAGTAGTTACGTGGTGAAATTCATATCTGTGGCAGTGTCATTAATCTGTTATTACACAGAATGTGAGACATCAGTGCATCCAGATTGAAAGTCTGAGAACTAGCTAAAAGCTAAAGTAGAATGCCTAACACCTTATTTTTATTAATAAATAATGTTTTAAATTAGCTTTCTGTATGTCTGTCTTATTTCTCTTTGCTTTCATGAGATAAGAACTATAATTACTCAGCTTTTTTCTACCTAGATAATTTTTCCATAAAGCAGGTGCTGAGAAAATATGTATTGATTGACTCTATCTAAAGTTGCTGTGGTATAATGAGAAGTTCACTGTTACTGGAGACAGGGATTTGGTTTCAAGTCTAGGTTACTAATCATTAATTGCCGTTTGTCAGTTTACTTTCCTCTCCTGGGACTGCCTCTCTGAGGACCCTCCTTGACATCTCTTTTGCTCATTCCTTAGTGCTTTCAAACAAACCTGTGCTTCCCTCAGCTGAAGCAAATAGCAATCTCCTCTGTCCCTCCTGTGAGACAGTGAGTGCATGGTCTCTCTTGTCTTCTTTCTGTATCTCCAGAGATTATCCCTGGTTTAATACACAAAATGTGCTTACAAAGTTTGTTGCATGAATAATGAGTTTAATTTCTCTGAGGTTCAGGTGTTTCCATCTCTAAAATGGGAATATTAATGACATATAATATTGTGGATTCTAAGAACCTTCTTTGGAAAAGAAGCTGGCCTTCCCTTCTTTAAAAATAATAGTAATAGGCTTTGTTATTGAGTACCCATTATATGTGCCAAATGCTGCTCAGGCACTTTTGTTATATTATTATCTCCTGTATTATGCCCTGTGTTAGTGTTTTATAGCTGTGGCAAGATACCTGAGATAATTAACTTCAGTGGAGGAAAGATTTATTTTTACCTCATTGTTTCAGACATTTTAGGTAATGGCAATTGACTCAGTTGCTTGGGGCCCATGGTGGTATTGTGTATCACCGTGGAAGCATACAGGCTGGAAACAGAGATAAGGGGCTCTGGGCCTCATATACCTTTCTAAGGCATGCCCCCATGACCCAACATCCTCCCACTCAGCTGTACATCTTGAAGGTTTCACCACCATCCAATAGTTCCACAGGCTGACAACCAAGTCTGTACACAGGTCCTTTGGGGACATGCAAACGATTCTTTCTCTTGTGTGAGAAATCCATAGGGAGCAAAATGGAGGGTGGATGTTGGGAAGTAGGAAGAACTTGTTCAAACAGGAAGGGGAGCCAGAGATAGAGATGGAAGGAAAGGAAACAGGACTTGAAGGAAAAAACAATTGAAGAAAAAAATAGAAATAGAACTTTTGTAAATGGAGAGGGGAAGAAGGGTTAGAGGGAGGGGAAGGGAAGGGGACAAACAAAAAAGAATTAAGATGTGTCATGTACATATTCCCTATAATGAAAAGATCATTCTGTATTGCAAACATGTACTAATGAAAAAATCCATAATATACCCTTGTAAGTGCTATGATTCCCATTCTATAGGTGCTTGAAATGAAGAAACAGTCCCCAAACAATAGCAAGCAAGATTGTGGCAGAGCTGGGGCTTGAAGTCTAAGTGTCTAGTTTTTCTCTAGAATTTAGCCCTCATGCACTTAATGTTTCTAATGGGTGCTGTATTGGGTTTGTCATCAGTAAGTCTCCTCATGGATACCCTGGCTGTATCATTATAGGCTCTGAAAGATTAACCTTAAAAGTTAAGCTAGTCAGAGTCAGTCTTTAATACATTGCTTGGCACATGGAAAGTGCTCCGTATACAACTGTTTTGTAAAATATTGAATTAGTTATGAATGAAAAGTTTATAGGTAAAATTAGTAATTTGTGAATTAAATCAAGAGACTCAACACTGTTGTTTTATCTGTACATACAGAATGCAGTAAACTCACACAGTACTTCTACTGTGAATCCTGATTTCTCTGTATTTAGTATGAAATATGATCAAAATATATGAATGTTTAAATTTTAAAAATTTATTACAGTAAAACATACATTACCATTAATTCACCTCAAAATATTCACCACAGCTTTCAACACACTTATCCTGTCATTCTTGCCACTTTCGCATTTTTTTTGTTTTTTGGTACCAGGAATTGAACTCAGGACTTTGTGCTTGCCGGGCAGGTGCTTGTGCCACTGAGCTATCTCTCCAGCCCCTCTTGCCAGTTTCTGAAGCAGTTCTGGAACTCTTCTTTCTGTGCAGTGTGTGATAAAATGAAATGAATGCTGCTGCCTTGTTCCACCCAACACAAAGTTAGGCTCATAAAAACATTACAGTGTGTCCTTATCTACCTTGTTAATCAGATCTGGCATCATGTGACATCTGGCTCTTCCCCAAATAAAATGACTGTGGAAGGTAAACAAATCCAAACACATTTATTAGCACAGCACAAATTCATATAATTTTTTCAATTTTACTTAAATACGTACACATTTCACCAGAATATGTATGAATTTAGGTAAGTATGAAATAAATGTATATTTTTGTTTATAGTTTTTGCTTTTAAATATCTTATCTTAGGAAGATACTTAAATTTCTTGAAAAACTATGTAGAGTACTAAGGCAATGATATGCAAAAAAAACCTTGTGAAATAAACTGAAAAAAATTGAACTTATGTAAGGATAAATCATTGCTCTCCAGGGTCTGAAATATTAGCAACTTTACAGTTTCTTCTTTGAAATGGTTCTGTTTTAGGAACTTGTTTTATCAATAAATCTAGTGATGTTTAAAAATTTCATTTATTTATTTATTTGTTTGTTTGTTTTGAGGCAGGGTCTCGCTATGCAAGTCAGGCTGGCCTTGAGTTCACTTTGTAGCCCAGGCTGGTCTTGAACTTGCAATGATCCTCCTGCCTCAGCCTCCTGAGTACTAGGATTACAGGCATGCACTATCACTCCTGGAGTTAAAAAAATTTAATTTCACTTAAAATACTAAATAGAATTTTCACAGGCTGGTAACTTGTGCTACAGAGGGTAGATTATTCATTATGGAGATTTCCACACTGTCATCAAACAAGGTCCCAGGAAGTTTTCCTGAAGAGGAGATGTGGATCTCAACTTGGCTGGGGCAGGTTCTTAATATCACTGCAGAAAAGCATTTTCAAGACCTGTCAGTGAGAGGCATAGGCTGATTTATTAAGCAGAGTTAGAAGGTAAGAAAATAGGGAGGGGTCTTAAGTTTGAGGAGTTAAAGGGGGCACAGCTCTGATGAAGAGGATCAGCAAAGGAGACAAGCCTTTAAGGACTGATTGGGGTGGGTCAGGGTTGTTGATCATGACCTCAGTTTTGGTTTGGAAGGTGGCTCCCATGAAGTCTTTAACACTTAACCTGGTCTCTGCGAGATGAATGTTTTTGTTTGGGGCATTCTCAGGTTTGTGAAGGCTCTGCTGAAATCCAAGGTGACCATAGGTTTAGGCAAATGACTAGACCTCTGGGTGCTCATTGGTAGTTGTTGAGTGTCCCTGTCAATCTTTTACTTGGTGTCCCCAGTCTTGAAAGGGATGAGGTTGGTTATACTATATAAATTTCTGGCTAAATCACCTTGTGTTGCCAGCTTTTAGACAAGCACTCCCTAGGTGATTATCATGGCTAGCTACTCACAGAGCTGAGCAAAGTTCTGATTCAAAGTTTTAAGGTAATAAAGGGAAAGATACAGGAGGAAAATACAAAATGAAGGTCAAACTGTGATCTGCTTTTGGTCACCTATTGGGCATCTGCAGACCCAAGTGAAGATTCATTACTTTTTTTTTTTCTAGCAAAAGCAACTTCAAATTTCTCTCCTGCCTCAGAAGAAAAAACAAATCATACTTTGTAACAAGTTAAGTAACAAGTTAAGGGTACAGGGGTTTGTTGTCCTCTGTCCCTAAAGTGGACTCTGACTTAATATTATCCATTGCCCCAAGAGCTTCTTTGCATGTGTGTGGACAGAGTTTTTATACATGCCCACAACTTCAGGCGACGTGCACGTATTCCTAGACAGGTAAAACTGGGCTTAAGTTTGTTTTTCTTTTGTTACTTTTCTTTCCCCTCTGCCCTTGCCCTTCCTTACCCGCTCTTTCTGCTCCCTCTCTTACTCCTCTTCTTGCCTCCCTCCTCCCTACTCTTCTTTCCCCCACCTCTTCCTCCTCCTCACACTCCTTCTGCTCCCCTTTTCCCTCCCCTTTCCCCTCCCCT